GATGGTTTTAATGGTGGACAGGACCACATGGCTTGAGTCCTGAACAGAAAAGGTGACCACATGCTTCAGTGTTGGTGGAGAAGAGAAGGGAGGAAGAGAAGCTGAGTCCCTGGTTTTATGCCCTCTCTGGCCTTTGATCTTGATCTTGTATTCTGATTGGTTGTCAGACTCCCATGAAGCCATGCAGGAGCAACTCTCTAGGCTTCGTTTTGAATCTAGGTTTGGTTGAGTTCTCAGATGCCATGTGGTCAGTTGAATAAAGGGTCAATATTATCATGCCTTTACTCCCATCTCCCCCTGGGGCTGCAGTGGAGAAGTCTTTATTATGTAAAAGGGAGTAGCCTGGCCTTCTCAATGGCCCATTAACAGTGGGGATGGGCAGGAAGCTACAGACCTATTCTGTCTTTTAAAACATGTTTCTTTTCACATCCAGAGAAATTTTCTGCCTTTTCAATATTTCCTAGGATATTTCATTTTTCTGGGAGAGGGCTGGATGATAACTTCCCACAATGTAAAGTGGACTATCTCAGGCTTTAATGGCTCATTGACAAAGGGGGGTGGGCAGAAAGCTGCAGGCAGCTATTCTGTCATTTAAAATATGTTTCTTCCTTTTCACATCCAGGGAAATATTCTGCCTTTTCAATATTTCCTAGGATATTTCATGTTTTTCTGGGGGAGGGCTGGGTGATAACTTCCTACAGAGCATTATTTCAATCTGTAACTGGCTAGAGGAAGAGACAGTTCTGCTGAGTTCTGAGATAAGATTTTCTCCTTTCTAATTTTTTTTTAAAGTTTGGTTACTATATAACAGCTTTTGAATTGGTCTTAAAGATTTAAAAAGAACTCCCTTTTCATTACTTTTATGAATAATGAAAACAAAATAATCTTACAATGTTCAGAGAGAATATATTTTGGTGGCAGACTCTTTGAAACAGATTTCTGTCTTGCTCAAAAATAAATGAAATATATGATTTGGTTCTGATTTTCCTTTCATATTTTGCTGTTACCAAGCTGTTGAAAACAGTTGCAGTGTTCAGTATAAATGCAGACATCCCCTTGGTCTTCTAAATAGCTCTGCCATTCATTTTATTAGAATGCAACTATTTAGACTTTTCTACCAGTGGTGGGTTCTGGATCCTGTTGCAACCGGTACGGTGCAATGGGGCCCGGCACCCACCACATGAATGTGCATAGCATGCGCACATATGCACACATTGTGCGCATGTATCCTTATCTCCTGCAACGTTCTGCGATGCCTCTGCGATGCTCCAGCTGCTCGGCAGAGCATCGCACAGGCACCATATGCTCCATGCGCATGCGTGGAAGTGCCAAAGAGCACAAATATAGGTAAGGAGGGTGGGCGGGCCCTCTGGAGCACTGTACCGGAACAGTACCGGGGCGTACCGCCTGCAACCCACCATTGTTTTCTACCAATAGAAGAGAATATTTGTAGCTCAGGGTTGAACTGTGAAGTCCTTGGTGCCTCTGAGCTTGCAGGTGTTTCACTACCCAACTTCTCTCTTTTGATCTTAAATCAAGCCAAATCAAATATGCATTATGGTCATAGACCAGCATAATCTACCTATGGTATTATTCCAATTATTGTGTAGAATGGGACTGGATTGTGATGAGAACATAAAAGTTGCACTGCAAGCGAGTCAAGGTCCATTTATAGTCCAGCCTTTTGTTTCTCACAGTGGCCCACCAGATGTCTCTGGGATCCTTCCATGTAGGACATCCTTTCTTTTTGTAGTTTTCCTGTAACTGGCCTTTAGAGAGAGGCTTCCTCCAACCAGAGGTCAATATGGTCTAATTATTCTTGATAGACCTATTGTCCTTGAATACATCTAGCCTGGTATTACATCTATCCAGGTTTGTGGCAGTCATGAGAATGAATTCAACAGGCTAGCTATGTGTTGTATGAAGGACTTCTCCTTTCTGTCAGCTTCACTGGATGACTTCAAGTATTAGGATTTTGAGAGAAGGAGAAAAGCTGCTCCCTGACCCTCCAAGGTTTCTTTTTTCTAAGCCAAAGAATCCTAAACAGTACAATTAAAGCTCAAGAACTGTCAAGATTATGATGCATCTTCCCCTTTCTAAAGGTCAGCTTTATAATATTATAAATAAAACAAAAAGGTGTGTGGCAGTTTGTTCACCACAAAGTGTATCTTTAAATCATAAGATGACGGGAAGTTGTTAGAAACCACTTACTGCATTGAGGATGAAACCAATGATCCTCTATCTTCATTTAATCCTTTAGCATTTCCCCATTCCTCACCTCATTCTGGCAACAGTACTCACTCAACAGCTTGATTAAAGAAACAAACCATTGTTATTGCAAGGGCTTATCATTGTTATTGCAAGGGCTTCACCTTGGAATCAGTTTTGGGTTCATGTTTCTGCAATCTAAATTCGTTGATGCCCCTTTGACTTTTTCACAGGTTACTCTCAGGAAGGTTTGACTCATAGGATTAACATTTTGACCTCATTATTCCTATTTGCGAAACATGAATTACCTCATGACTTGGATTGAAGACATATTTAGTGCACTCCACTATATGGAATTTTATTGATTAACTATTTTATTAATTTGATCAGATTTGTAGCCCATTTTCCTCTTCAGGGGACACTTAAGGGAACTAACTAGAAAAACTTAAACATAAACAGTTACATTGCAATGTAATAAAACAACAATGGAGGAAAGCAACCTTGGATTTAAGACGAGCATGAAGAAAGAAGACAGAAAAAGTCATTTGTAATTCCCAGCATTCCAACCTTGCCAATCTAACATTGCAAATTCCATCTGAAAATAATTCTACCCAATAAATGCCAGTGTATCTATTCATTTATGTACATGTATAAGTTACTGAAAGGAAATAACACTCCAAAATATTTAATACTATGAAGTCCAAATTGATTAAAATAAGCTGCCTGTACAAACTTAATTTATAAAGTGAACTGATCCCCATATACCAACCATATCCAAAGAATAAAAGCATGAAAATATATTACACAAATATGTCCCTTTCTCTTCTTCAACCACAAAGAAGAAGAAATCAAGAAGAAAGAATTAGAAGTTTCGTGGTAAGAGAAAGGGGTAGCTGCTGCACAGTAGAGAAAGGAAAGAGAAAAAGAAAATGATATTTTAGGTATTACAAAATGGGTTGACATTCAGTAGGCAAACATCTGCTAAGGTTCAGCTTGTCCTCAAAGGCATCCATGCTTATCAGCAATGAAGTCTACAGTCATTTGCACCTCCTGCCTTACTGTTTGTTTTCAACATTCTTCTATTCTGACCTGCCCTGTGTCAATTCAACGGTGAATATTTAGGCAAAACATAAGTTGTTTTCAGCAAGCATTGTACTAATTCCCTCAAATCGTAACAACCTAGTTGATGAGGAAAGTCTGGATTTCTTCACTAAAAGGGGAAAAAAGCATAGTTGGAAAGCTTGATCATAACAAATGGACTTGAGAAAGTGAGACTATATATAAAGAGACTTTCTTGCTCACTTTAACGTACAGGCTGGTTCATATCAAGATAGGAAGTCCCTCAGACAACCACTAGACCATGGGCTGTTTAGTTTGGTAAGAGTAGAAATCAAAAACTCCCTCTTGAAAAAAAAAGTCTAGAAAAAAATTGGCAACCAGGGCAACTGTTTCATCAATAGAATAAAATATTCTCTGTATCATTCACCATTTGGCATCTTCAATTGGTTTTATAGGAGCTAACATTTCTGAACATTCCTTAAGAACACACTACACAGTAACCAAGTCAGGTGGAACTGCAATTCCCATTTGTCAGTTTTTCTTTTTCTAATAACACTTCTATCTTGTTCTGGATTTGATTCAGTTCACTCCCATCCACAATTTTTTGTTGTTGACTGATTTGTTTATGTATTAGATTTATATTCTGCCTTTCTTTTGTTCAGGACCTCAAGAAATATACAAAACATTCCCAACTTCTATTTTGTTCTGCATTTGTATGCTTGTGAGATGGGCTCAGCTAAGAGAGACTGACTAGCCCAAAGTCATCCTGTGAGCAACTGTTGGGGAGGACTAGAACCCGGAACTGTTTTTCCAATACCTGAATTCCTACACACTCAAGTTTCAATCAAAATAATCAACTGCTGGTTTCCTGAAGTTAGATCCAAAGCATAGCAGTATGCTTCAGCATAAGGCTCTCTATATCCCCTCTCATTCTAAAGGCAGCCACTTTACAACAATATAATGAATATCATATCCTTGAATACTTACTTCTATTACTTCTTGATGCTAAATTCCTTCTTTGTCATGCAGACAATATAAAGACTCAAAGTCCTGAGGAGCTGTTTCTTCTTTATGCATATTTTGTCTACATCGGAGCAGGGGAGATACAGTTGTATGAGTGAACATAACAAATGTGTGTGTGATTGTGTGTGTGTGTGTATTGAAAGAGAAGCATATATAATACACACAATTCTATAATGAGGTGCATAAGGGAACAATGAATACATAAAACTAGATTAGCTCCAGCTAGTTTGTTTTAATTTTTTTTAAAGCTAATCATCATTTGTTTTCTCTAGGCTGGGGTGGCCAATTACTTTTTTGCTAGGTCTTCAGTCTCACAAGGTTAGTGCATTAGGATCTCAAGGTAGGCAGGACTAAAATAAAATGAGAAAAATCCAGAAATTGATATCAACACTTGTTTTCTGTTTCTCTCCTCTCTCTCTCCCCACTTCCTGCTCCCCTCCTCCCTCCATCTGATTCCTTATTAACTGAAAAGAGAACTTAAAATTCTTATTTTTTTCTCATAATTTATGGAAAGTGATCATTAAACCAGAACCACACAATAAGGAAATCCAATTTAAAATGTATTAAAATTAATGTTCCATGAAAAATTCCAATGAAAAATTCAGTCTTCTGAGATCATTATTAAAACACATGGAAAGTGTCTAAAAGAATTAAAAAGTTCCCCAAGCAATAGCCCTACGAAAAATGGAAAAGATCAGCACAGAAAGAATTTATTTTTAAGGAGGTCAGAAGAGAAGGAAAGTTGTAGCACAGGACAAAATAATTATTCAAAATACTTCAAAAATAAAATTGTCTGCCTCTCCATCTTGAGATGCCAGAAACTAAAATCCAACAACAAAGACTATTGTTAACAGTCAAATTATTATTATGAAGCAATATCTCACATAAAGACCCCATTATACCTAGCAACTTGCCAAAATATGCTGGTAATCAATTCAGTTGCTGTTTGTGAATTGGATCAATTTCTCTCAAAATTGACACCATCTTCATTAACAACTGGGACAATAAATCATAATTCCTTTACCCTCTATCCTTCCTTGATTGCTCCATCTTACCCATCATTCCATTCCAATAACCAAAAGCCATAAATTAGTCCATCACTTTTTCCTTCCAGTCAACCCCCCCTTTCTCCACTCTGTTTAATTTTCATTGGTATTTTTCCTATTCATTGGAGCTTTAAAACTTTGGCTTTAAAAATAAAAAAAATGAGAATATTATAGTAGTATGACAAAAGACTAGTGCTGCTATTTCATTGGATTGCTATTTAACATAGCAAAGGAAATTGTACTTTACAAAATTAGAAAGGTTAGATACCGTTGGAAATCTCAATGTTCCTTTATGAAAAAAGTCAATCATAAAGTGTTAAATATTAACGTAGCTTGGTGAGAAAACTCATTAAAAAAAAACTTGTGCAAAGCTAAATATATTTACCTAAAACAATTTAAAATCTTCTCATAATCCTTTCTACTCATTTCTTTTAATTAAATGTAATTCTGTTTAGGCATGCATTGTTCTATAACCAGGCTAGGATAATGCAGAGTTAAGTTGTTTTCTTTTCCACCGTTAATTTCTTATTTTAATTTAAAGCATTATATTATCTTTCAACAACGTAACTAGCTTTCCTGATCTCTTGCAGTTACAGAAGGATTGATCATTTTATCAGCTTTATTGCAGTGATTTACTTTCCAAGAGACTGTTCATTAACTTACTTATAGTTTAGCTAGCATCCATGAACTGGGAAAACAGCAGAACAACATGGATTATTAAAGCAAGAGCTAGTATGCCTTTTTAATAACATCTTGGCCTCAGAAATTGTTTTTAAAACTGTCCAAAATGCTGTGAAAGGAAAGATTTTTTTGGGTGGTCTGATAAGATACCTTCCATGAGTTTTTGAAATCAGACAAAGGGTCTTGCATGACACAGGGCACGAGTGTCTACTTCTAGGCTCTTTTAGTTAATTTGTATTTTGGGGGAAAGAGTAATTGGTTATATAGCTGATGTGACACTGATGCACATAGGATAAGACAGTGTTCCACAGTGTTTCTCAACCTCAGCAACATTAAGATGTATGCACTTCAACAACTCAAGTCTGGCTGGGGAATTCTGGGAAATGAAGTCCACTTATCTTAAACTTGCTGAGGCTGAAAAACACTGGGATCGGATGTGTTTCTAAATACTGTTGTTCTTAGATAGGGTGAACAGATGAAACAGGACTCAGGTTTCAGTGACAACAAACAGCTCTTTATCCGATAACTATGTCCAGATCAGGGGTGGGTTTCTCGCCCCGTTCCAACCGGATCGGTTGGAACGAGGCCGGTGGCGTCCTCGCGCACGCACGCGGCATCCTCGCGCACGCACGCAGCGCGCGCATGCGTACTAGCGTCTGTGCGATGCTCCAGCTGCTCCTGGAGGATCGCGCAGGCGTTCTGCGCAGGCGTGGAAAGCGCAGAATTCGTAAAAACCGGGTAAAAAGCGGGCGCGGGTGTGCGGGCGCGGGCGGGCGCGGGGGGGTCTTCGCAGTTCCCGGAAGTTACTTACTTCCGGGTTCGGTGACCAACCGGATCGCAGGGACCGGTGCGAACTGGTCGAAACCCACCCCTGGTCCAGATCCAGCACTGGCCTGTCTGACAGCTAGCCCTTTTATAGGGAGCTGTCAGGCGGCTCAGCCAATCGGCTTTGAGTATTTTCCTGCCGGAATGGAGGATCTTGGTGGAGCCTCTTGCTCCAGTCTCAGTATCAGCGGTGGGATTCAGCCAGTTCACACCTATTCGGGAGAACTGGTTGTTAACTTTCTAAGCAGTTTGGAGAACCGGTTGTTGGAAGAAATCTCTTTTTGGTTTTTTCCACTTTGCAGGGCTAATCCTGTAAGGAAGGCAGGAAGGAAACATTCTGGTGTTATTTCTAGCCTAATCTTTACTGCCCTGCTTACAGGGGAATGGTTAACCCTCTGGTTAACCCTTATTACATTGTAATAGCTAAGGTGAAGTGCCCATTGATGTGAGTGACATTGAGTTGGCCACGCCCACCCAGTCACATGACCACCAAGCCATGCCCAACTAGCTGGTTATAAGGGCAGAGAACCGGTTGTTAAATTATTTAAATCCCACCATTGCTCAATATATAACAGTTGTATATTCATTTGTGCTGTTCCCAACATGTATGAGGAAGGACCTCCTGTCTGTATTATTACTTATTAAGATTATACTTCATAGATAAATAATTTGGTTAGAACTGGTCCTTTGCTTTAACATATGATTATTTGTGTAAACCTAGTTCTGAGTACTAATTAGTTGTACCAACTTCTTTCTCTTTTAGGTGGTTTTTTGGATCTATTAAACGAACAGATGCTGACAAACAACTCCTTTATCATGAGAATGAGTCAGGAGCTTTTCTAATCCGAGAGAGTGAAAGTCAAAAGGGTGAATTTTCCCTTTCAGGTACCCTCCACTTTTTCAATCATAGAAATGTTGTTAAATTTAATTTAATTTTCCTTAGTTTGGTTTAGATAAACTGGCAGCTGTTGTTGATGATCACATATACTTTTTATCTGGTCAGTGGGTCATTGTTTAGAAGTAAACATGCATACCAGTGGTGGGTTTCTGCCGGTTCATCCCGGATCGGTAGTGGCAGAGGTAAGAGGCTCCGCCCACCCGCCCTGATGCCCAGGCACAGAAAAGAAAGTAGTAAAAGTAGTAAAAGAACCCACCACTGATGCATGCAGATTTGAATTTCTATGAATGAATACTTTTGAGAAACATTTGAAAGCTTTGTTATTCCTTAGGTTTTTAGCAGAGCATGCTTTTAGCAGAAGTGTTTTGGGGTTCTTTTAAATAAAAAAAGATTACCTCATAAGCTTTGTGATCCTTCCTTGAATCATTTGGGACAGAGAAGCCCATTTATAGAAAATTTTGTTTATTCCAACCTTAACCCAAAATATTATCCCAAAATATATCCCAACCATTTTCCTTTTCTTTCTACAAGGATACTTGTGGAATCTTGGTTGCCAAAATCCAGACGACCATTATATGGCAGCAGAGGGTTAAGAATGTTGTTTATATTTGCTGACATCTTGTGGTCATCCATAAGATTACAGCCCAGATATTTCTTGATAAAAATATTTCCATTTTAGCAAGACTTCTCTTTTGACTTTTTTTTGACACCCCTGCAAGAGATTTTTTTATAAAATCTCATGAACCTTTTAATCTACATGTAATTGTTGCTGAATGTTAGATTGTTTTTTTTAAATCTATGAAGAAGAAAATGGTAAACTATTTCCACACCAGCAGAAAAAACAAATCAGAAAGAAAATAACAGATGTGTCCATATGTGTCCACCAGGAATCAATCTTGACTCAAGACTTTAATAAATTATCAGTACCATAAAAATGTAAAAAATAAGGAAGAGATATATTTTTATTGGCAAATTTGATACTTTTATATGAGCCTCACCATAAAATGGTTGCTTTGAAATTACTCTGAATATAATCAGATATATTTAAAATGTTTATGGTTTTCCCCCAAACCAGGCGTGGGTTCCTGCTAGTTCTAACCTCTTCTATAGAAGAGGTTCCACAAATTTACAGGGTCGTTTAGAACCAGTTCCAGCTCCTTCCCCCCGCCCGTCTGCACATCATCAAGATGAAGAGCGAGAGGAGGAATTCTGGAAGTTGAAGTCCACAAGTCTTAAAGCTGTCAAGTTTGAACACCACTGGTTTTTTTTTCTAAACAGTTAGGGGTGCAAGAGTCTTGTAACTTGACAGCTTTAAGACTTGTGGACTTCAACTTCCAGAATTCCTCCTCTCGCTCTTCATCTT